ACACACACACACACACACACACACACACACACACACACACACACACACACACACACACACACACACACACACACATATATATATATTTTTTATATATTCAGTATCTTCGCATTCACAATCTGGTGCGATTATCGCCTCTGCAGTAATATTGTCACAGATAATGTTTTAGAAGTAATTGGGGATCTGTATTGTATGTTTATGATAATGATGTGATTTCATTGTAGGCTATTCATCTGTGTGCTGCATCTCCTGAAGGGGTTTGTTGTAAAAGTTCATGTATATCATTTCAAATTTGTTGGTCGTTTAACATGGCCGTTAATGTCCTCAAGTTTATGCCAACGCCCAGGAACTGAATTTCGCGCTTTTTACGAACGTTTTGTAAATTACCAACCCCAAGTCAACCTTTGTGCATTCCTGAGACTACATGCCTTTTACTTTTTTTTCTTCGTTTCTCATGAGTTTTATACTGGGGGCTGCTTATATTTTTTGTACCCCCTATACGCGCAGATGAACATTTGATCTATCGCCAGGCATATGCGTTTGTGTAGCACTTCGGGTGGGGATATTTCAGGAGCGGTGGAGGAACCAGATGCATGGTTATATCCGACTCACTTCTACCTGCCCACACTCATATATATCATAGGGAACCACCCTGGACAGACCGTTTGTCTACGGTAATATTTCGAACGTTCTAACCACGCGCAAGGATGACGCGCATACGCACAAATGGACCGTATTCTTCCGCTCAATCAACGCCGAGGACTACTCGTCGTTTATATCCCAAGTGGTCTTCAAGCTTCATGAAAGCTTCCGCGATCCCGTCCGTGGTAAGTCTGGAGCCTCTTTCAGTAATTACGTATATACTTATGGGTACGATGTACATATCAATAAGGATAGATTGTGTGATGTATATGCATGTAGATCTGTGTGGTAGTTATATAGCAAGGCAAAGCTGAAGGAGACACATATATCCCTTGTCAGTCTACAGAGCACCAGTATGGAGGGCTTACAAGTATCTGTTCTGATGGTTGATGACTGTCTACCCACTAATTGGCTTCAGGCAAACGAGTGCCTGATTGCATCTGAGTAGGGCTTCGTGGTCAACGCACTGCCCTGACATGCGGAATATGTGCGGCGTATCTGAAGTCAGAATTAACTAGTTGCAATCACATCAGCGCACTTTTGTGTATGTCAGTATGTGTTGGACTTAAGATTGCGACCCATATTCGCTGATCAGGTGGGGTATTATTGCTTGTGTATATATGGGCTTCTGATGTTTCGCGTTTTTATGGATCCGAAAGATCAGTCTCATAGTCATAGCCGCGTATCTATCAATTCCAGATACCTTCGAGCAGTTCACATCAACCTGTCGCAGGGAAAAGTATATATTTCTATATATATATACA